ATCAGGATTTTAAAAACGAAGTTTAGTTGAAAAGATAAAACAATTTAATGTGGATTAAGAGCGAAGAAAGGGGAAACACTGAAACAGGCCTACGACCCTTATTTTGGAAAGTCCTTCTCAAAACCAAACAAAACAAAAATATTCACCCAACCCCACAATTTTTCCCAAAGAAAATAAGCTCTGAAAACCCTTTTAATTCAGTCCCAGGCCCCATAAATTTAAATGTACTTCTGAAAACCCCTTTTTGGGGGGCCCTTTTTCCCTAGTTTTTTTTTTTTTTTTTTTGTGTGTGTGTGTATCCATTTCCCGGGTTACGCAAACCGTTCAAAAAGATGGAAATGAGGCCACAAAACCAGCCGTACGGAAAACAATATCTAAAATATAAAACAGCACTTGGGAAAAGGGGCTATTATTTTTATTAAAATTAAAAACCCAAAGGGCGCCAAACCCACCGGGGGTCTTTACACCCGCTACAAAAACAGCAAGTAAAAAAAAAATGTATGAATTAAAAAGGGGACACAAAAAAAATTTTAAAAATTTTTTAATATGTTAAATATTTTTAGATTTAACTTAAAAACCCGAATTTTGGGGCCGAAGGAATTGGGAATTTTCAAATTTGGGGGCGATTGGGAAATAAGTTTTTACATTTTTGTCACTGTTTAATTAGCTTTTAAATAGGCACTTTGATGCTTTTTAAACCATTGCCTGTAGCTTTCCCATTAGTGCTGGATTTAAAATGAGAAAAGGCAAGATAACAGTAAAAAAGCCTGGGGACGATGATCTGTGAAGACGCTATTGGAAGCCCAAGACACACTCAAGAAGTTTTGGGAGGGAAGAAAGAAGGAGGGGGCAAGCTGCGGTTTTAAAAACTGGAACCCTAATAAAGGGAAAAGTAAATTGGATATGGGGTTTTTATGATTTTTTAGGGAAGCCATAGAGGAAGGGGGGGATAAATAGCACCGAAATGTTTAAAAAGATTAAAGTCAGGAGGACGGGAGATCGGAGAGGCCAAAAGGTTTTTTTGGGAAATTTTCTCTTGATGGGGCTCTCCTCGATTTTGTTCTCCTGATTTTGTTTCCTTTTGTTCCCCTTTTCGGTGTTATTTGTCCCTCATACCTTTTTCAGGGTTTTGGCCAAAAACCCATAAATCTTTATCCCTCTACACCTCTTCATATTTCTCCAGGGTTTTGCCTTTTTATTCTCAAACCCCGGGATGAACACAGGTGGGAGGCCAACGGTGTTTAAAAAATGGATATTTCCCGGGCCTTTACATATTTTTTCCCGTCCAACCCCCAGAATAGCCTTAGCAGGTTGGTAGGAAGGTTTGTCAGGAAACGGGGACAATGTTTCCCTAAGTCATTGATCCCCGCCCCACTAGAGTTTTTTAACACCCTCCCCAAGGCCTTTCCCCATTGGCTTTACAGACCCCCCTTCAAAAATTAGGGTTAAATTTAAGGGGTTAGTGGGGGGGATTTGTAAAAGGCCCGGGCCAAATATGGGCCAACTGCTTACGGGGAGTGTTCCCCCTTTTCCTATGCCCCCTTTAATTTAACCATTAGAAATTTTTCCATAACAAAAGAGCCCCTTTGTCAGAAGACACTGCATTTTTCCCTGACGAACAAAACACACTCTCTCTCCTAGCAACCGTGGGAGAATGAGGGTGAGTAAAAGAGTTTCAGAGTTTTTTTAACACAGATTTACTTTATCAGTGAACCCAAACCTGGGGAAAAAGCTAAGCAGACGAGAGGGGAGTTTAGACCCCAGGCGTGCATATGCAACATGAAAATTTGAAAATATGAAATTTTAAACACATTAGTAATTTAAAATCCATTTTTTTTTAGTTTCATTTGTTACCAGTGAATTTTTTACTAAAAAATTTAAACCATTTTTTTACACTCAAACTTTTTTTTTTTTTTTTAAACATAATATTCATAATTTTGAACTTTTTGTTTTAAAGTTTTAAAGACTAAATTTAATTTCAGTAGTGAACTTTTGAGTTGATTTGTTATTAATGTATCACGCCCAAAAAAAAACTTCACTAGGGGACCTTTATGTTTAACTTGTGCCCCGTACAGCTACACTTTTGGTTTGCCTTTTATTGTTTTAATTTTGACCCAGTACAGCTGCATTGTTTTTAAAACCTTTTTTTTAACCCGTGACAACCCGCACAGTGCCCCTGATGACTTTTTTGTTAAATTGTGACACAATAAAAGCGGGAATTGGGGACCTTTAAAGTTAACTTGTGAAAACAGTACAGCTGCAATGGTGACCTTTATTTAACTAGTGACAAAAGTACAGGGTGCACTGGGGGAACCCTTTTTTTAACTTGTGACACGTGGGAGCCCGCCCCTGGTGAAACCCTTTTTGGGTTTTTTTGTGACACGTACAAACCCCACTGGTTTTCCATTTTTAACAAAGTAAAAAACAGTCCCCCCCGCTTTCCCTGGGGCAAAACCCTTTTTGTTAAACTTGTGAAAAAAGTAACAGCTGCACTGGTTTTCCTTCTGTTAACTTGGGGACACAGTACGCTGCACTGGTGGGCCTTTTTTGTTTAAAATTTTTGACCAAATACTTTCTTTTCACTGGTTTACCTTTTTTTTTAACTTGTGACCAGTTCAATGCCTGACACCTTTTTGTTAACTTGGACCCGTCCGCTGCATGGGGGGGGGGGACCTTTTTGTTAAATTGGGACACAGTACAGCATGCACTGGTGACCTTTATGTTAGTTGTGACACAGTACAGCTGCACTGGTGACCTTTATGTTAACTTGTGCCACAGTACAGCTGCACTGGTGACCTTTATGTTAACTTTTGACACAGTACAGCTGCACTGGTGACCTTTATGTTAACTTGTGACACAGTACAGCTGCACTGGTTGACCTTTATGTTAACTTGTGACACAGTACAGCTGCACTGGTGACCTTTATGTTAACTTGTGACACAGTACAGCTGCACTGTGACCTTTATGTTAACTTGTGACACAGTACAGCTGCACTGGTGACCTTTAATGTTAACTTGTGACACAGTCAGACGCACTGGTGACCTTTATGTTAACTGTGACACAGTACAGCTGCACTGGTGACCTTTATGTTAACTTGTGACACAGTACAGCTGCACTGGTGACCTTTATGTTAACTTGTGACACAGTACAGCTGCACTGGTGACCTTTATGTTAACTTGTGACCACAGTACAGCTGCACTGGTGACCTTTATGTTAACTTGTGACACAGTACAGCTGCACTGGTGACCTTTATGTTAACTTGTGACACAGTACAGCTGCACTGGTGACCTTTATGTTAACTTGTGACACAGTACAGCTGCACTGGTGACCTTATGTTAACTTGTGACACAGTACAGCTGCACTGGTGACCTTTATGTTAACTTGTGACACAGTACAGCTGCACTGGTGACCTTTATGTTAACTTGTGACACAGTACAGCTGCACTGGTACCTTTATGTTAACTTGTGACACAGTACAGCTGCACTGGTGACCTTTATGTTAACTTGTGACACAGTACAGCTGCACTGGTGACCTTTATGTTAACTTGTGACACAGTACAGCTGCACTGGTGACCTTTATGTTAACTTGTGACACAGTACAGCTGCACTGGTGACCTTCATGTTAACTTGTGACACAGTACAGCTGCATTGGTGACCTTTATGTTAACTTGTGACACAGTACAGCTGCACTGGTGACCTTTATTCTTTAACTACGTGCGGTGATTAACTTGTGACACAGTACAGCTGCATGGTGACCTTTATGTTAACTTGTGACACAGTACCAGCTGCACTGGTGACCTTTATGTTAACTTGTGACACAGTACAGCTGCACTGGTGACCTTTATGTTAACTTGTGACACAGTACAGCTGCACTGGTGACCTTTATGTTAACACAGTACAGCTCCGCTAATGACCTTTATGTTAACTTGTGACACAGTACAGCTGCACTGGTGACCTTTATGTTAACTTGTGACACAGTACAGCTGCACTGGTGACCTTTATGTTAACTTGTGACACAGTACAGCTGCACTGGTGACCTTTATGTTAACTTTGACACAGTACACCACACTGCCACTGGTTGACCTTTATGTTAACTTGTGACACAGTACAGCTGCAAATGGGGACCTTTATGTTAACTTGTGACACAGTACAGCTGCACTGGTGACCTTTATGTTTAAATTGTGAACAGTACAGCTGCACTGGTGCCTTTTGTTAACATACAGCTCCGTAATGACTTTATTTAATCTGAACAGTACAGCTGCACTGGGGACCTTTATTTAAAAATTTTACACAGTAGCTGCACTGGTGACCTTTTTTTTAACTTTGACCAGAAGCTCCTGGGGTTTTTGACCGTTCCTGGGTTTTTTTAAATGTGACACGTAAGCTGCACTTGGGCCCTTTTTTTTTAACTTTTGAAAGTAAGTGCCTAGGCTTTTTTTAATTTCGTGACAAGAAAAGCTGGCTTGGGCTTTTTTAATGTGACAAGTAAAAAGCTTGGGTGGGGAACTTTTAAAATTTTTGACCATACAGCTCGCTAGGACTTTATGTTAATTTTGGGGCACAAACAGCTGCGCAGTGAACTTTATTTTAATTTTTTTACACATACCTGCCCTAGGAAAATTATTTAATTTGTGACACAGTACAGCTAGGGAGCTAATGGAATTTTTTATGAAAAAAAAATGATTTAAATTTACGAAAAGAATCAACGCCATTAAAATTAAATAAAAGATATACTTTAAGACACTTTAGGAAACCAATAAAAATGTGTAAGGAAATCAATTAGGAAAAGTAAAAAATTTTTAGGACATACACAAATTAAAAAATCTAGCCCCACCACACACACACACACACACACACACCACCCACAACAGTGCGGGAAGAGGCCCCCCTAGCGCCAGTAAAAGGAGGGGCCCGGAGCTAATTCGACCCTTTTAAACCACAACTAGGTAGTAAAACAGGTGAATACACACACAGAACACACCCACATACACACATACTCACCTGGTGCATAAACACAAGGGTGTGGGGTGGAGGATTTGAATCGACGTGACAAGTGAGATAGAGATTCGTATCCTCTCTCACCACCGTCCCTTCCAGAGCCTTTCCCATCCTCAGTTCCACCTCCGGGGGATCTGTAGACAAAGGCAGTATTGTATAACGTACATTGGAGAACATGGAAGTACATGACAGGATCCAAATGGACTCGGTATATACAGAACTCATAAGTAGGACATATATGCAATACTTAAACCCATATGCCGTCTTATCCACGGAGCTCATTTTTACTGTGTAGATCTTTCGCACTAGTGCGAAACGTCGTCTCTATACAAAATTATTCTGCCAGCAATGCACCCGTATAGTACCCACGGGAGTACACGAAAGTGCATGGAAATACACGATAAAATATACATGTATAAAACTATACATGATAGTAAGTGAAAGTACCTGATAATACACGGAATTTAATGTTAGAACAGGGAGTACATGGGAGCGCATGAGAGTATAAAGGAGTGCATGAGAGTTCACGAAAGTGTTCGGAAATAGTTAAGAGCACACGTGAGTATGTCTGAGAACCCTTGACCTCACAAGAGTACCTAAGAGTACATAGTACAAGGGAGTACACAGTAACGGCTTTCTACGTTATGTATATATGATAAGAAATTTTAACCTGTAAACTGACCTGCTGAGGATACTAGCTCATAGCCTGTAAACTGACCTGCTGAGGATACTAGCTTGTAGCCTGTAAACTGACCTGCTGAGGATACTAGCTCAAAGCCTGTAAACTGACCTACTAAGGTAGACCGAAAACTTTAGCTTGTAAACGGACCTACTGTAAACAGACCTATCGAAAATAACAGCCGCCGACCTGTAAACTGACCTGCCAAGGTAAAATAACCGCTCTGGGCTTGCAAATTAATGACAGCAATAATATACACAGTTTCGGTATTCACCTTACGAATATATTTCTGACTTCCAGTACACTGGTGTGAAGGTTCCATCATCCTTCCTTCCTTCCTTCCTTTCTTCCTTCCTCCCTTCTTTCCTTCATTCCTCCCTTCCTTCCTTCCTTCATTCCTTCTCTACTAGTGTGAGCCTTCGTTATCCTTCCATCCTTGCATCCTTTCTCACGCTACCTTTGTCTCTCTTCCTTCATCGTTAAATCCTCATTTTCTCCCCTTTTACTACGCCTTTTTTGTCCCCTTTCTCCGCAAACTATTTCGTTCCCCTCCTGCACACACCTATTGTTCATCGTCTTGTACTCCCCCTACATCTTCTTCTTCTTCTTCTTCTTTTTCTTCTTCTTCTTCTTCTTCTTCTTCTTCTTCTTCTTCTTCTTCTTCTTCTTCTTCTTCTTCTTTTATTATTATTATTATTATTATTATTATTATTATTATTATTATTATTATTTTATTATTATTATTATTATTATTTCTTCTTTGTCTTCTTCTTCGTTTTCTTATTTTCTTACAATTTTCTCTTCTTGATCATTCTTTATTTACTTTCTTTCTTATTTATTTATGCTATGCCCAAAAATCTCTTCCTTTTCTCTCTGGCTTCTCAAGTACTCTCTCTCTCTCTCTCTCTCTCTCTCTCTCTCTCTCTCTCTCTCTCTCTCTCTCTCTCTCTCTCTCTCTCTCTGTATTTTGCTTCTTTGCTCCGTCGGGTCTTTGCTAGGTATTACCTTCTCCATGTTTCCTCTCCTCTTCTTTATTTCCTCTTCCCCTTCTTCCTCCTCCTTCAAAACATTAGCCATCTTATTTCATCTCCTCTGCTTCCTCTTTTGTTTTCTCTTATTTCTAGCCTGATTTCACATAGAAAATTTTCTCTCATTTCTTCATTTCCTTATTCATTTCTTTTATCCTCTTATTCGTCGGTCTCTTTCTCCACCTCCTCGTGTCCATCTTTCTCTTCTTCCACTTCTTTGACTACCTTCCTGCAGTTCAAGCTCTTCCTTCGCTTTCTCCTCTCCTTCTCTGCCTTTTCCTTCCTTCTCTTCTTCCCTCTCTTCTTCTACCTCCTAGCAAGGTATTAGCCACCCTCTTCCGCCTCTTCCCCTTCTCTCTTTTGTCTTCTCCACTCTATTGTTCCTCCATTTTTCACTCTTTGTTTTGGTTCCCTTACGTTCCCCTGTTACTGGTAATGTCTCTTCCTCTTCCTACCATTCTTTTCTCTCTTCCTTTCCCACGTATGTTCGGTTAATTCCCTCCCTCCCTTCCCTCTGTTTCCTTCGTTGATTCGCTTTGTCTCCTCTGTTTCATTGGTAATTCATTATCTCCATTCTCTTATTATTCTAATTATTATCTTTACTTAGTGAATTTTTAAATATTTTCTGTCTATGTTGTTTCTTCTTATATCATGGTTACCTTTAATTTGTTCTTCTTTCGCGATCGTTTTCACTGTCATTATTTCTCTCTCTCTCTCTCTCTCTCTCTCTCTCTCTCTCTCTCTCTCTCTCTCTCTCTCTCTCTCTCTCTCTTCTCTCTCTCTCTCTCTCTCTCTC